GCAGGGGGTGAAATCCTTGCGGCCAGCGGTGTTACTATCCTGTCATCTGCAGGGTACCGGGCAAGTCAGCTAGAGCTGTTCCTTGCAATGGGAGCGGGAACAAAGGAAAAGGAATTAGAGAAAGTAGAGTAACAAAAGAAAGGAAGAAGGGAGGGACAGATAGTAGGCGCTGTTAGGATAGAAGGGAGTGACAGGAGGGGGTAGAGGGGATTGACAGAAGGGGTAGATAGAGGAGATTATACGGCAGGGTGAGGAGATGATGAGGGGATGAAAATGAGGTGGTGCAAATGAGGTGGAGAGAGGCGAGGGGATGGGGAGGAGAGGGAGGAGAGGGAGGGGCTAAGTAGTCAGGGGAGTGAGTGCATGTGGGATTCAGGGGATTCTGGGGGTCCAAGGCAGCTCAGGGCCTTATGGTACATAGTGTGTCAGCTCGCGTGCTAATGTGAACTGGCCTAGAATCCCGCTCTCCATCCACCAGTTTGACAGGAGATGCAGGCCTTCCTTGGTGTCTAGCAGCATCCTCTTGTCTAGCCTGCCATTTCTTATAAGGCCCTGACGCTGCTGCTCCCAGCGTTCGCAGTGTATCAGAACATGTTCGACTGTTTCCCATTCATACCCACAGGGGCACCGTGGGGTGGGGAATTCAGGTACCTTACACCGGTTTAGGAAAGCTGCCAGTCCGGTTTTCCCTGACCTCAATTGGATGATGATAGTGCTGCGAGCCTTGCGCAGGCCGGTGTGCCACTTCAGAATTTTCTTGTCTGGGGGCCGGCCATGCCGCTCCCCCCAGGGGGGCTCACGTCTTTTCCACCTCTGCACCCACCTCCAGAGCTGCTCGCGCTTCAGCCAGTGATTATATGAGGCTTGGTCCAGGTTGGCTCGTTGTTCCGGTGTCATCTCTGCTGTGGCTCTCTCCTTAGCACCCTGAATCCATTGCTGTTCCCAGTCCACTGGCAGGGCTGCCGGGTGAACCACAGCTCCCATGTGTCTCTGTGCCCCCCTTGTCACCCCCCGGTGCCGAAGCCTGGTCCTTATGGCCGCACACGCATTCTCAATTTGTTGCGCCATTCCTGAGGCCTTCATCCTGTTGACCGCCTTTGCCACTAGCCCATCCAGGTGGATGTCTAAGGGTACTGTGTGGGTTTCCGCTTCCAGTGTGCTTGTTGGGGTTCTTTTGTATGCCCCTGCCACTATTCTGAGGCAGGAGTTCTGCACTGTGGTCAGCTTGAGGGCCAGTCCTGACTTAGCTGGACCCGTGCCCCCCTGCCCCTGTGGCTGGTGCCATGCTATTGCTCCATAGGTCAGGGCCGGCCTGATGACCATGTTATACACCATTCTCGCTTGTTGTAGTGGGAGCCCCCATGTGGATTGGGTGGTTTGGGACAGTGCTCTGACTTGAGTCTTCATCTTGCCTGCCACCGCGTCCAGGTGGCCCTTCCATCTCAGCCTAGAGTCTAACCATACACCCAATACCTTCATCACCTGTTTCGGTTGTATAGTTTGTCCTGGTAGTCTCAGCTCAGCCTGTAGGTTGAATTGGTTGCGCGCCCGTGTGAAGTGCATTAGCTCATACTTCTGGGGGGCAAAGACCGCCCCGTGCCGTGCTGCCCACTCCTCGCATGCCCGATGCATGCGCAGGAGCTCCCTGCAGTTGTCCTCAGTGGACTGGCCATAGGCCATCACGTTGACATCGTCTACAAAGGCTATGCACACCACCGGGCGCCCCGGTCTTGAGCAGATGCGCACCAGTTCCTCATTGTAGAATAGGAATAGTATAGGTGATAGGGGTGACCCCTGCGGGATGCCTGCTGGGATGTCAAAGGTGTCTGATTCCTGGCCCTCAAAGGCAATTGTGGATTTCCTGTTGGTCATGAAGGACGCAACCCATCCCACCAGGTCCCTGGGGATGCCCAGTCGCCGGAGGATGTGAACCATTCGCTCCCGCAGCACCT